TCTCTGTGGGGCAGCGAATCCATCGGGGCTCCAGCCAGGCAGTAGGATGGGTATTCGGACAAATGGACAAAGGGATAGATGATGGATGGGCAGACAGATGGTAAGTGGGTGAGTCATGATAGACAGAAAAAGATAGACAGGTTTTTATCTATCTACCATCTATCTATCATCTATCTATCTCTCTATCATCTACCTATTTACTGCATTGGCTCACATGGGCAGACAAGTCACAAGTCCTTACAGCGAGGAGCAGGCTGGGAACTCAGGCGGAAGCTGATACTGCAGCACAGGGGCAGAATTTCTTCTTTTTCAGGAAATCTCCATTTCCTCCCTCAGATTCTTCATCCAACTGGGCAAAGCTCACCCCCAACACTGCAAGCAGCCTCTGTGCTCACAGTGAACAGGCTGCAGGTGTCAAGCACACCCCCAAAACACCTTCTCAGTAACACCTCGCCTGGTGCTGATTTAAATACCCAGATGTTATGGCCAAACATCTGCCAATCAGGCAGATAATGGGATGTGGGTGAAAGGGCACCAATCTGGGGCCAGAGGCTTAAATCCACATCCCCATTTCAGTATCTGCCTAATGACATCCTTTTGGCTCCTCTAGCTTTAGCTAAGGTGCTAAGGGTGCAGATGAGAGGGTCCATGTCTCTTTCCATACACAAAGCTTAGAGATAGCGTGGGCATGTTCCTGGAATCCGGGCTCAGGTCTCTAAAGGAGCTCCAGGAGACTAACAAAGAAAATGACAAAGCCGTGTTGATGATGATGCTGATAAAGGATAAAAAGAAAACTGTTGGGAGCCGCGGCCGACACCGGTCGCCTTACTTGGCGGACGTAGGGCCTGTGGGTGGGAGCGGAGCCTGAGCTAGATTGCCCCTCCCATCGAGTGAGTCAAGTTGGCGCCTGCTTTCTGCCCCCTGATTGCGCTGGCGACTTAAACAACCCGCTCTGTAAGATAGTCTGCCTAGCAACAGCTGATGTTAGCCAGTCAGCCCGCATCGCGCGCTTTAAACTGATTGGCTACTGTTGCCCTATAAAAGTGAATGCCTCTCCCGCCACGAGAGGAAGCACAGAGAGAGATAAAAAAAGTCCACGGGCGAGAAAGGGCTGGTGGCAGAGTGGAGGCCTCGCGGGGCCCACGCGGAGACAAATAAAGGCAAGATTGCACACCACCAGACTTTGTCGTGTGTCTTTCCTGCCGGCCGGGAGCGACCCCGACATTTGGTGGCCCATACGGGGACTGATCAACCCCGAGACACGGCGGTGGTGTGCAACGCTCCAGCGTGGTGCTGCCGGACAGGTGAGTTGGGGATAAGCCTGGGCTCTGGGTGGCGCGCACCTACAGGGCTTTTAGACTCCCCTCAGGCTCACGCGTAGGTGACGGGTTCTTTAAGTCACACTCGGTGAGTTACAGCCCTTAGAGGTTGAGGATGGGTAATTTACCGAGCGCGGAGGCGCGGCCCTTGGTAAAGGCCCTTAAAAAGCTTTTAAAAGCTAGAGACCTCAGGGTAGGTCAAAAAACACTAAAACTATTCATAGCAGAGATAGATAGGGTGGCTCCCTGGTTTTTACCCACAGGGCATTTAAACCTGCCGTCATGAGAGAAGTTAGGCGGGGACCTCGCCTCGGCGGAATTGAAAGGGGATATTTCGCCGGCTATTCGCCCCCTGTGGGAAATGATACATGCGTGCCTTGACTCCTATGCCGAGTTGCGCCGCAAATTGTGTGCGTGCGCCGCTCGAAAAAAGCAGAGAGAAAAAAAAGGGCCCCCGAGCGCTCTCTGGCGGGGAGGAGATAGAGAGCCATCCGCTCCGCCCTGGAGCTCTTCTCCAGAAGTGGCTCCCCGCCGAGAGGCCGCTACAGGGAACCCTCCCTTCTCTCAGCCGGCACAGAAAGTGACGCCCCGTTCCACTCTGTTGCGACCGCCGTCCTATGACGTTGCGCCGCGGGGCGGACGGTATTTTCATGGGCGGCTACTCTGCCGAGCAGGCTGAAAAAAACGCCGGTCGAGGAAACGGGGGCTGGGGATTTAGCTCAGCGGCATAAGCGCCTGCCTTGTAAGCAGGCAATCGCGAGTTCGATCCCTGGCACCGATAAAAAAAAAAAAAAAAAAAAAAAAAAAAAAAAAAAAACGAAAAAGACCAAAAATAAAAAAAATAAAAAATAAAAAATAAAAAGGGGGAGTAAGCCAAGGCCTGCCTCCAAAGGCGCGGTTATCTATGGCATGACAATGGATGGGCCCGGATCCGGTGGTTAGCTGGAACCGAGGCGCGGTTTGTGTTTTTCCGCAGGAACTGGGACGAAAACCACTGTGGGTCCCAGAGAGGTTGACGCGACAAGTCCCTCGACTGAAGATCAGGCCTGTTCCACCAGAGGCCAACCACAGACCCAACAACAAGATGAGCCCTAAAAGAACTGCAGGACAATCCCTTTTTGGGGAGCCTGGAATGGCTTGCTCCCCTATGTTTTACCATTGTTAGGCCCTCTATGCTCCTTGTTCTTGCTCCTGCTTATAGGACCATGCTTGCTCCGATGGGTCACATCATTTATTAATGGGCGCCTTGCGGCGGCCCGGCGTCAAGTACGCCTGGTTGCCCATGCGGCCCTGGCAGCAGCCCGTGATGGGCACAATGACCCCCAGGCCTACGCATGGCTCGCTCGACTGGCCTACGACCGGGTCTAGGTGTGGCGGGTCTTCCGCATTCCTTCCCTATTGACACCACACAGCAGGGTGGGTGAGTCAATGACGGGTAAGAGCGTGCCTCCCCAGCACGACTCGACCTAAGCCAGGCCCTACCCCATGGCGCACAAAAGCCGCTGGATTACTAGAATCTGACCAGATCTAGATGCCTCTCCGAGGGGATCACACGGAGGGGCATGAGTGCATGCCTATGTACATCCAGGTTCCGTCCAGTTCACTCCTGGCCCTGGAAAAAGGACGAGGGTCTCAAGGCCTTGGCGGACCCGGGGGCGGCCGACCAGGGTCCAAGCCAAGGGCCTACGGTGGGCCTCAACACAGGGCATAAGCCTCTACACTCGATCCAGGGCGGGCTGCGATGCATACATTCATTCAAAGTAAATAAAATAGGGGGAGATGTTGGGAGCCGCGGCCGACACCGGTCGCCTTACTTGGCGGACGTAGGGCCTGTGGGTGGGAGCGGAGCCTGAGCTAGATTGCCCCTCCCATCGAGTGAGTCAAGTTGGCGCCTGCTTTCTGCCCCCTGATTGCGCTGGCGACTTAAACAACCCGCTCTGTAAGATAGTCTGCCTAGCAACAGCTGATGTTAGCCAGTCAGCCCGCATCGCGCGCTTTAAACTGATTGGCTACTGTTGCCCTATAAAAGTGAATGCCTCTCCCGCCACGAGAGGAAGCACAGAGAGAGATAAAAAAAGTCCACGGGCGAGAAAGGGCTGGTGGCAGAGTGGAGGCCTCGCGGGGCCCACACGGAGACAAATAAAGGCAAGGTTGCACACCGCCAGACTTTGTCGTGTGTCTTTCCTGCCGGCCGGGAGCGACCCCGACAGAAAACATTTTGGTCAAATCCTCCCAGAGCCAAGGACAAAGTCCACACATGATTGTGCATCTCGAAGCCTGACACAAGCAGGTAGGTGAATTGGACTTTAACCCTCCCTGGAGTCTGGGGGCCTCCCTGTCCCAGCTCGAAGCAGATGGTGCCTAGGTTTTGCTGCAGAAGACGATTTGGCCACCTGTAAGGATCGAGGTCCCCAGAGCAGCTCTGTAACCCGGCTTGGAGAGGTTCCACAACCAACTCCTCTCTGTCAGTGCCACTTCGTGACACCTCCAAACTTTCAACTTGCACAGATTTACTGGACTTGTGTTCCAGAGGCACAGAAGACATTGCCCATGTCCTCACAGGGCAAGAGAGCTCTCAGGGGAGGTGGCCACCCACAGAGACACAGACTGCAACATCACAAGAGCTGCGGCGAATGCAATCACCGCCAATCAACAACCGTCATGCGCACACGAGGTGTCCACCTTGCACAGCAATAGGTAAAATAGTCACGAATAAAATCCCACCTGCTGTCAGTCCTATGGAAGTGTGTGCTGGGGAGGGGGGTCTGAACAAATTATCAGATAGCTAAGAGAAAGTACCAAGGTGCAGAGTCCTGTGATGTGACAGGGTCCAGGGAAGGCCTCAGCACAAGGTGACTGAGCAGAGACAGAGATCTGAGAATCACCCGGGCAGAGCAGGGTCAGGATGGGAGCCCAGGAGCGGTAGCCATGGGGGGGGGGGCGAATCCTGGGTGTCAGCAAGATCAGCAGTTGCGGAACTGGGGCGCTCTCAGAGAAGACAGAGAACAGACATCTGCCTCGGGGAAGGTTGCTCTCATCCGGTATCCCCTGCGCTCTACACATGGGTGGGGAGCAGATTTGGCCCCAGGAGAGCCTCAGGCTCCTCCGCTCCCAGCACAGAGGCCAAAGTCTGGCAGGAGATGGCAGGAGATGGCGCCTCATCCCAGCAGGCCTGAGGGAGTTTGGGGGCACCCATGTGGAGTTACTTCCTGTACCCCAGAACACCATCATGATGCTAAAAATACAGAATCACAGAGGGTGGGCCAGTGAGGGAGGCTAGGTCCCAGGGGCGAGGCAGCAGTGAGTTGGGGAGATGGCGGCAGACACAGCTGGACCTGGAGATGACCCTGGGCTGGGAGGCTGGGCTGCCCAGCTGGAGCTGGAGGGCTGGGAAGGAGGAGGAGCGTATGCGCATGTGCATGCATTCATGTGAGTGTGTACATGTGCATGTGTCCAAAACTGCTCACTGCTGGACAGCACATGAAAGGCAGGAGCAGATGGAAGATGGGCTGGTGGTGCCCACACACATGGGTACAGGGCGATGACCCAGGCCCAGCAGAGAAAAGGGCCAGGAGAAAAGAGACCTCGAAGGCTGCCCGCACCCTAACAAAGCTAGCACCCAACCCCCGTTCTAGAACCTCCAGCATCCCACGAGGTCTCCCAGCAACCTGATGCAGGACCATGGCACTGTTGACACCCCAGGGAGTAAAGGAAGTCTTCCAGCTGCCGGTGAGGGAGGGAAAGCGGGTCTCTGGAGAGGTGTAACTTTGAGGGTCTAGGGAATAGTGTGTGCTGGGGTAGCTCTGGCGCTGGCCCAGCAGGAGGACACCATGGCCTTCCCCGGGCATATAAGCCCTCAGCCTATACCAGTGAGCGCAGCCAGGGCCTGGTCCTTAGCAGCCCAGGGCTTCCGGGGAAACCTCAGGTGCAGGGCCTGCAGGAGGGGAGAGGAGTGTGTGCCCCAGGGCCTCGGGATGGGACCCAGTATGGGGGAAGAGGGGCTCTGATGACTTGGGTGTCACCTGGGTCAAGAGGAATACTGCCACCTGGAGCGGGGCTGCTGGGGGCCGACGGCAGGGTGCTGGCTCCCCGGCCCCAGCTTTGCCACTGGTTCCCTTGAAGTGCTCCCAGAGCCTCTTGTTCTGGGACAGCAGTGCTCGTATTTATGTGTGTGGACCTCCAATCACTGCACACCTTTTCTTACCCCAAGAAGAAGTGCTGGGGTGCTGGTGGCATTCTGAGAGCCCTTCTGCAAGAGTCACAGAGCCTGAAGAAGGGGGAAAAGGGCCCCTCAACCAGGCTTTTCCTGGGCATCAGAGAGCCCGAAATTCTACTATTATAAGACTTAATCCTTGTCAGGTGTGGTGGTGAACGTTTGTGATCCCAAAAGGCTGGAGGCTGAGGCAGGAGGATCACAATTTCAAGTCTAGCCTAGGCAACTTAACAACTTAGGGAAACCCTATCCCAAAATTGAAAAAGAAAAGTAGAAAAGGTCTGGAGGTGTAGCTCGGTGTGAGGGTCCTGGGTTCAATCTCCTATATGGCAAAATTATTAGATAAAGCCTCCTTTCCATTAGTCATTTGTGTGTTAGTATAAATTTCATTATCAGACCAGTAAGATAGCTAGTTGAAAGTACAGTAGTCTAGAAAGGAAATCTTTGTTTTAGGGAAGGGAGAAGAAACGCCATAATTCAGAACTTCAAGCCTGTGGAAGCTCTCACTCCTAGCTCTCCAGTAGCTGGGATAAAAACTCACCAAGAAAGAGGAGCTCTTGACAAATGACTGGGTCCCCAGCAGGTGGTGGGGAACTGTCTAGAAACCAAAGTGCAATTCCTTCCAGGTGTTCCAGGCTCCAGGTGCTTTCTGGCCCTGGAGGGCGGGTGTATCTCCTGCCCTGGGGATAAATTAGGCCTCTGATTTCCGCAGAGACAGCTAGGCCGGGACCTCCTACGAAGACTTCTGCGCTGGGAGCCCCTGGATGAGTGGAGCGACCCTCGAGGCAGCATCCTGCTGGACGCCCTGTACGACTGCGTCCTCTTTGCAGCTGGCAAAGGCTTCCCATGGGTGGAGGTGGCACGGGTGGTCAAGTTCACAGATGAGCTGCTGGTGGAGACCAAAGGTAGTGGTGCTGGGTTGGGGGGTGGGAGATCGCTGCCGCCTGAAAGGAGCTGTCCTGGCTGTCCCCACACTGTGGTGGCACCAAGGTGGGCTGGCTTTTGTAAGGTGAATCGAGTGTGTCACCCACGCCCTCTATGGACTGCACCGGACCTAAGCAGCAGATTGGGGGGCGGTGCGCCTTCCTGTGCCAGCTTGGCGAAGCAGGATGCAGGTCCGGGGCAGTCGTCCCTGGAAAGGGACCCGTGGCTGAGTCGCAGAGTCATTCACTGTATAAATGCAGGAGGCATCAGTGCCACGGTCCCCCAGGGGTCACCCCCTCAGTGAGACCAGGCACCTCAGCCACAGCCATTCTCAGGCCCTGGGGTCCAGGCAGGACAGAGCAATGTTCTGTTTATACAGCCCCAGAGCGCACAGCCTTTATCAGACTTGTGTACACACACTGGGGCAGCAGCTCTGAAAATCCTTCCTCTTTAGACCTCTTTGGACTTGACCCTGGGCCATGCAGCCTGTGGTTTCCTCCTTCCCACCTCTGACACCTCTCAAAGTATGGGTGGTACAGATTGCAGAAGGAACTTCTCCCAGGCGGGTGAGTGCCTGTGCCTGACCTGGCTGTGAAAGAGCCTCCCAGATGAGCCAGAGAGTCCGTTGTCATGACTACGTCCTCTCCCTGGTTGTCTCAAGTTCCCAAGAGGCTCAGCTTCACCTAGACCAGTTCTCCAGAACTTGCTGCCAGGGATCCATCTTGGATATCACTTGTCTTCCCTGACGCTGCCATGGCTCCACTTGATCAGCTCTGGTTCTGCCCAAGCCAAGCCTTAAGCTTTTTCTTGGGGTAGGAAGTACTGAAATGGACCCCTGGGCCTTTGCATAGGCTGTGCATGCTTTGTGCCGCAACTTAGCATTCTAACCCTAACCTGGATCTTCTCTTTCCCTTGCTGTCCAGACCCATCTGGGCCACACTACCCAGGTTTGGACAGGGCCAGGGCCATAATTCCAAATGTTGACATTCTAAAAGCACTCAAAGCAACATCTTGAAAGATCACACCCCCCCAAAAAAAGAAAGATCAAAACCCAAAACCTATAAAAAATTACTTAGACATATGTATTATATATATATATTAGAAGGAAATTTGTTTGAGGAACATAAAAACTTCATATGACACCTCATGGGTCACTTTACCTAATAAAAGCCACCTATTTTTTGCAAGCACATACCCTCAGGCATTCTAGTGACATGAGCAAATGAACCATATCAATGAAGAAAGAGTTCTAAAGTGGAACATATAAACATCACTGTGGCCCAGCATGTCCCCTGTTGTGTAATCAAAGACATCCCTAGTGGTACACACCAATAATCCCAGCACCTGGGAGGCTGAAGCGGGAGGATCACTGCAAGTTTGAGGCCAGCCTGAGCTACCCTAAAAGACATCTCTTCATTTACTGAACCAGTTTCAAGATTTTTCCATGCATCCGGTCCTTAAATCACCATTGCCATGATGCACATTCAAGGAGCCACGTTTGCAAACCCTGCATAAATCAAACCAGCTCTCTCCAAAAGTCTTGACAAAGTCTGCCTCCTAGGCTGGGAATGAGGCAAAGATGAAATACGTGGCACACACATACAGACACACACACATAACTAATGCACGGCTTGTGGAACAGGCTGCACTAAAAAAAAGGAAAAAAAAAAAACTTTAGAAAGCTAGAAAGAAAATTCAATGGATGAAACTGTTAAGAGCCAGCCAGCCGACTTTCACCCTGCAGAGCACTCATGGAAGCCTCACGCCACTGTGAAGCTGCCTTTTCCTGGTAAATCACCCCCTTCTGCTGCTCTTTTCAAATTCTTCTGTGAGCTGAGAAGTGCCGACCTGAGTCCTGTTAGGCTTCCAGCTTTTCCCTCCAGGATGCTATGCTCTTCTGAGAGTCCCGTCCACCCACGCTCAGAACACACACTTGGCTCAAACAGCAACTCTTGTGCTCAAGCTTCTTGCACGAATATCTTCTCATCCTACCTGCATATAATTACTTTCCAGTCAGTGAGTACTTTGCTGGCGTCACTGGACAGGACACCGATGCAGACAGACACCCTGCTTGGAAACTCTTGTTTCTGTTGTTCTTGCTTGGTGTGGTGAAACCACTCACCTGAATTTTCTGTCAAACACACTGCGCTCGGTGCAAACACTAATTTTCTTGGTAACATGCAAGTTCGCCTTCAGCAGCCTTAAAGGCACACATTTCCACAACTGTCACAGTTTTCACACTCAAATGAAATCCGTTTTCTTCTGCAAAGTCTATCAAATCTCCAAATAAGCATAAAAGTGCTTCACTCTACCCGATATTAATACACAAGAAGTTTTAGAATTTGGGGATCTAATGGATATGAATTCTACACATTTCGTAAAAAATACCTAGGACTAATTTGAAAAGAAACTTCCGTTAGCTAGAATGAAGAATGTGCTGGCCTTTTGATTGCTGTTTTTGTCTTTTTTTTTTTTTTTTTTTTGAGTGCTACATTTGCTTAGGGTGGACTCAGATTCAGGGGCTCAAGTGATCCTCCTGCCCTCAGCCCCCCAGATAGCCGGGACCACACGCATGTGCCACCACACTCAACCACTAGCTTTGCTTTAGTCTTCTTGGTATACAGAAGTTGTCTTTTCCGACAGCCCAACCCCTAAGCAAAAGCACCATAGTAATGCGCTTCGGAGCCCGAAGGCCGCACAGGCAGCACTGTCTTTGGTTCACACGTCTCCAAGTCTATATATTCTCTGGCCAAGGCCAAGGTTTGAAGATCAGCATGGTGGTCTGTGTGGAGGGGCAGGAGTCACGCAAAATCAACAAATCTGAAATTCTCCTGCCAACCTCCAGAAAATGCGCTGAGTCCTTCCCTGCACTTGCACCTTCTCCTTCCCATGGGAATTGCAGTGCTTGGCTTTCAACTTCCAAGGGTTCCCTGTGGAGTCTGTCCCCAAGATCTCAGGGGCTCCTCATCAGGCTGCCGTAGCCCCAGCCCTCGCCCATCTCATCCCCGCGGCTACTGTAGGTGCGCGCGCGCACACACACACACACACACACACACACACATACACACGCCTTTCTGGACCATGCCAGCTTGAGCTTGGACAGCTGTCTGCACTGGTTCATTTTCATCCCCTCTGTGCCCTTGGTGCCGATGCACATGGCACTTCTGTGTTGGATGAAGAAATGAACAAATGCATGAATGAAGGCTCAGATCTCGAGCCTTGACTCACAGAGGTGCACGGGATGCAAAGTCAGGCAGTTCTGCAGTGTTTGCAGCTGGCGCTAGAGGCTCCATTAGGGGAGCAGGAGCTTTGAGGCATCGGACCTGCAGGCCGAGGTCCAGGTTCAAATCCTACCTTCTCCTGCACTGCTGCTGACTGTGGATGGGTGCACCCTCTGTGATAACAGTTCCCAATGCAGGAGCAGAGGTAGGACGAGACTGGGCAAACTGTGTTAACACAGCAGGTGACTGTCACACAGCAAGAGATCTGTCAGGAGCTACAGAGGGGAGACAGGCAGTCCCCACAGCCCACCATGAAGAGCCAGGGCTGCCTTCCCATGCTGTCCCCTCATCCCCACAGGGGTCTGAGCAGACAGAGGCTCCAGCAACTCTGGCAGCTTCCAATCCAGGCATCCCTCTCTATGACCTGGCTCGGCACTCGCTGGCCACAGGTACAGGAGCACACAAACCACTCGGTGTCCTCAGCCGGAGATGCCGACCACCAGGGGCAGGAGACTGGCAGGGATCTGTCAGTGTCTTCTATCTCTTCTATAGAGACCCCTGTCAGATCCCAGACACACGGCCAGTGTCCCCGCCCTGCATCCCACCCTGCCTCCTCCTGGGCGTGTCATGCTGCTCAATGTGTGGGTATTTCGGGGAGTTGGCAGGCCCCAGGCCAGCTCACTGGGGTTTCTGTTCCAGCTGACATCCATGCTGGCTGTGCTCCCCTTGGCAGGTGGCTTCCCTGGGGACACTTTGTTGTGGCTGATCTGGGGATGAGGGTGGGTAAGCTCTGTTTGTGAATTAGATAACACGAGGTTGGCAGACAGTGCGTAAGGAGGTTCATGTTTGCACAACAGTGACAGAGCTTTGCCAGGCTGGCTGCCAGCATAGCTTATCTCCTTGCCCAATCCAGCCCAGGACAGGGAGGGGAAGGGCCACCCCGGATTCAAAGCAGAAGCTGACTCGGTCCTGGCAGAAGGCTTGCCAGGATGTTCTGGCCTCTATTCCAGGCCCAAAGAAAGGATTCTTTGCTTGGCACCTTCTTGGCCAGCCTCCGGGAAGCCTTGGACCAATCACACCCAACTATCCCCTAAGGCAGAGGATGAAGTCACCGAGGGACAGAATTCTTCTCGTGTGGGATGCCCTGGTGGGAGGAAGTTGCAAGAATTTAGGGTGTCCATGAGGCCCTGCAGAGAAAGGGGGTGGCCTACCCTGCCTCCAGTTCCCCTCAGAGGAGGGCTGCAGCCCACACCCCCTGCTTACCTACAAGACCCACTGCAGCCAATGCCACTGCCACTGCAGCTTCCTGTCACCATGGACACCTGGCAGGCAGCGGCCTGGGATAGGAAGACCCCCTTTCCTGCTAGCCTGGCCACCAGATCCACAGGCTCATTGGAAGCCAGCCCCGAGGCCCAGCCCCAGGAGGTACACGGAGGCAAGCAGTCTGTCATGGTCCTGGCAGCTGCAATCCCACTCCCAGCCACTCTTGAGTCTTCAGGAAATATCACCCAGGCCACTATGGGATGGGAGGGCAGCTCCTGCCTGCTAAAGAGCCAAGGCCTGGAAGAAGCAATGACCCACCCCATGGTCTCCCGCAGGGCTCTTGCAGGACAGGCCTGGTTGTCCCACTGTCTGGACTGTCACCCCACACAGGGAGCTTCAGCAGGTACCTGAGGACTGGCCCTGTAGGGAGCAGTTGCTCTTCCCGAATCCTGGGCTGGACCTGTCCAACTGAAGCAGGATGAGTGCCCCCGCCTCTTAACTCAGCCAGGCGGGATGGGTCTGGATGCAGTTTCTTCACTGAGGTTTCTATAGAGACCATTGCCTGAGATCTGGAGAGAAAATTTCTTTGGAAAAATGGGTAGCTGTGATCTCAGGGATTCCTTGCTGGGTGTCTCAGGCCACATCACAGAATGCCACAGGCAGAGGACACTTTGTGTCTTCAAGAGCTGGAGGCTGCATGCACCGAGGCAGGCGTCAGCAGGGCCGGCTCCTCCTGAATTCTCCCCTGGGCTTGTGGACACTGTGTTCACCTCTGTCCCCATGCAGGCCTCCCTCTGTGTCCTAATCTCCTCTTCTCATAAGGACACCAGTCAGAGTAGATTAAGGCCCAGCCCAATGATCTCATTTAACCCTAATCACTGTTCTGAGGCCCTGGCCCCAATATACAGCCAGTCTGAAGTCCTGGGGGTTAATGTGCTAGGGACACAATTCAGCCTATAGCATAAGTGAGGACACAGCTCACCGGGGATGCTTGTCCATAAGGAGGTCAGAAACCAGCACTGCGTCCTGGGAATCCCACCCTGCTTTCCCTGGGCAGGCTGGCCTCGCCCAAGTGCAGCCTTTCACCTGCCCACAGCTGGGCACCATGGGTGAGAGGGTCACACCTGGCCTGAGGTGAGTAGGGTCAGGATTCAAGGACAGAGCACGCACCCCACCTCGTGACACTGCACCTTGAGCACGAGACCTGCACCTGGGGGCCGGAGAGAAGCCCTGCCTGCAGAAAGCGAGTACCTGGAATCGCCGGGTGAGAGACACCAGCGCTGTTTCCAATTGGGTCCCTGTCAGGGGTGGGGAGCTGTCCAAGCCCCCACAGGAAGAGGCCAGTGGGGGTGCATCCCAGGCCTGGAACAGAGGGTGACCAGTGTGTTCTCGCCTGGCCGTGCCAGCTGTGTGTGGACAGATGTGCAGTGCCCCGAGGCCAGACCTCTGGCACTCTGATGTGGCTCAGCTTGCTTGTTTCCTCATTCAGCTGGACGTGGGCTCACTCTTGGGTCCCCCAGGGGCGATTAGATGTGTGTGAAGCTGATTGTCAGGCTCCTGATGGTCCTCTGTCCCAGGGATGATGCTGAGGGTGTCTCCAGATCAGCCCTCATGACGCTGGTGTCAGCAGCAGAGGTTGGTCCGAGGGAACTGCAGCCACATTCTGGGCTCTGTGAGGCGCGCATCAGCTCCGTGGAAGTTGCAGCCTTCCCTATGGATGCCCAGAGGCCACCAGATCCGCATCTGCGCCTGACACAATCCAAGGACCCTCTCTCCAGCTCTGTGACCCAGCTGTCCTCTGCAAAGGGCCTCGTCCCTCCTAGGAGCAGAGGAACTCAGGATGAGCAGCTCTCTTTTCTAGAACAATCTTCCCCTGTCTCTGAAATCTGCTGCCTACTGGGCCCTGCCCTGCCCCATACATGTTCTCTAGGAGACACTGCCAGGTGGGGTTGCCAGGGTGTCATTCGCCTGGTTTTGAGGGCATGATTAGAAGAGCTGTCCCTTCCTCTAGAGGGGTCCTGGCCAACTGCCAGCTCCATTTCCCCTCCACCATCACTGTGAAGCCCTGTGCTGATCCCTCTCATCCAAGCCATCCAGCCACCAGGGCACAGACACCACCACCAATGCTGGGCCAGCAAAGGGCCATGTGTGACGATGGGGAGCAGAGGCCAGGCACGAGCCTGAGGCATTGCATCCCGCCCTACCCCTTCTGTCAGCATTGTGGGCCAGAACGTCCTGTGAAAACTGTGGCCCAGTGGGCTAGGATCCCTTCTGCCATCCACCTCTGAGATCTGCACAGAGGGACTGCAGCCGCTGGAGGCTGCGTGCCTCTGAGCAAATTCCTTAGCCTCTCGGAGCCTCAGATTTTCTGTGGATAGAGGTAATGGTGCCTGGCAGGCTCCCCCCCGCCAAGGGGCTGCGGTGGTCTAGGTGTTCTGTGGAGCCCCCTACCCCATCTCTTGCTGCCACAGTTCATTCCCAGAAGTGCCTCTGGGGGTGCCTGTCCTAGAGCAGAAAGGGACTGGTGCAGAGCTGGGGGAGGTAGGGCAGGGTGGGGTCTCCCTCAACCTAAATGCCCAGGGAAGAGTGGAGCCAGCTAGGCTTCTTCCCAAGCTGGTTCCTACCCTGAGCCAGTTCAGGGACAACCAGACTGCTGTGCTCGGGCCTTGTGCCCCTGGGCCCCCCATGCCTACCCACCCGCCATGAGGAGTGGCCCCTCTTCCCAGCCTCCATGCTGTCTCCCCTCCTCTCATCCAAAGCCCCACCGCACAGCCCTCAGCGCCCTCTGCCGCTCCTGCCCTTCCTCCGCTCCCCATTCCTCACCGCCTCCACTCCGGCCTGGCCTGCAGGTGCTGGCCCCCAGGGGCTTGGGGACCTGTCTTCAGGAAGTTCTCAGCAGTCAATGCAAATGAGGGCCACTCCCTGTTATTGAAGAGCAGCTCAGATCGGCAGGCACGGATCTGTTTGCTCGGCGGCTGGACTTAATCCCTGGGCTCTCTGAGTCACTAGGGCACAGGGAGCGGGGTCTGGAGGCCAAGACGGAGTGCCCATGAGCCAGCTCCAGATGGGCCAAAACCTGAAGCCCCGGCGGGCCGGAACAGCCTCTTGGGACTGGAAATCAGAACTCAGCCAGTACTCTGTCCTAAGATCCACACCAGTGTCTTGCTACCTCTGAGGCTCTGCTGTAGCCTGTGCCTGCGGTAAGGCAGCCCCTGGGAACCTTGAGCACCCTGTGCTGCAGACCTCGGGGTTGTAGTCTGGGCCCTGTGCACAGTCGCCAGGGGCTTCCAGGAGAGGCCTTGGCGGAGGGAGCAGATGCGGCCACCCACGGGGAGCAGCAGTGGCTCCCACCCCACAGAGGAGGAGCAGCACCCAGGAGCTGGAGGAGGGCAGATGAGTCACCTGGAGCAGTTCCCACACAGTCCCTCCCCAAGGGCCTGCAGCTCGGCTTCGATGGTCACAAGAAGGCGATGCTCCACCCACCCACCCCCACCCCCCGTGGCCTGTCCTTGGCCATCCTTGTCCCCTTGCACTCTGCCCCTGAGCCCCTTTGGACCCCCTGGCCCCCATTCCTTGCCTCTGCAGGGCTCCACAGCTCAGCTGCAGCTCTTCCCCTTTGGAAACATCCGGAGAGACTGCCTGCAAAAATTGGGGTGCAATCCTGGGGGGTCCAGGCAGGCCTGAAGCTCATTCTTGAGTGTCCCAGGGCTCCGAGGCCAAGTCCAGCCCTTCCATGTGGCCTGCAGACACTTCCTGAGCTCCTCTGTCCAAACTGGAAACCTGAGGTCTTTCTGTCCCCATCTCAGGCCTGCAGAGCACAGCTATGCCTTCAAGAACCAGCTCCATGGGGTCAAGTGCAAAAGCGCAGGCATCCTGGGCCCTGCTGGCCGCGGCCTCCGCCTGTTCACACCACATCTGGGTCCTGAACGCCGGAGTACTCCAGCCTGTGGGCCTTCTGTGTTAGGGGTGTCTCTTCCCTCCCCAAAATCAAAAGGGGTGCAAGCAGGATGCCCACCACTGCCAAGCAGCACAGTCTTTCTGAGATGGGGCCAGGACTCATGGAAGAGTGCCACGTGATCCTGATGGCAGGACTGAGGGCCACTATTATGGGAGCACACGTCCTTGCCCATCACCTGTGGGACAGCAGTGTGACACTCAAGGGACCCCCCGCCTGGGGAGGAACTGGACACTGTCTCCAGGTGGCCTGAGGCAGGGCTGAGCCTTGGAAACCACAGGCCATTGCTGTAGTTGAGAGGTTTTGGCCCTCTGAGGACACCTGTGTCCAACGTGTAGGGTAGGGAAGCCCAGCAGGGACAGGGTGGCCCAGAGCACTTGGGCGACCTGCCCAGAGTCACTCAGGTGTGCAGTGGTGAAGTGAGGCACAGCACCCTGACCTCTGGACAGCTTCTGGAGTGAGTGTGCCCTGTCCCTGGTCCCAGGGTACCCCAGACAACTGTCACCTGTCCCTGCTGGAGAGAAGCTGCTGCCTCCAGCCTGGTCTCTGGCCTGCTTCAATGCCTCCAAGTCCCTGACTGCCACTGCCCAGCTCCTGCTGGACACCCATGCCTGCCTCTGGGCACCAGTGCATCAGCTGTTTGTTTTCTAGGCGGTGACCCCACATGCCAGGTGTGGCCCCTCTGGGCCTCACACTGCTGCCTCTGCTCCTCGGGGAGGACCTGGCCCCCTGAGTGCTATTCTCTGTCACACTCTGCTCCTCTTCACCTGCCCTGTGATCCACTGGCAGGGACAGCCAGGGCAGGTATCCACCTAGCACAGCCCCAAGGGGCCAGGCACAAGCCCTCGCAGCAGGGGGCAGGTGTTCACAGGCTCCAGGACAGTGTAACAAATGAGCCTTTCGGGCCCGACAGACAGGAGGAAGAGTGGAATCAGGAGAGACTCCCTGCCCTGACCCTGCTGCAGGCCATAGTGCGGCCAGCCAGGCCTCGGATTGTTCCCAAGTCTGCAGACTCAGTGCAGCCCTGAGACGGATGGAGCACACCCAGCACCTCCACCTGTGTGTCCAGGCCCTGCCCCGTCCCTGGGAGGGTGAGGTGGGTCTTCCCACAGATTCTACTGTCGAAGGAAGACTGAGAGCAGGATCCTGGGGGCCCCAAGAGTCCTACAGGACACGCAGCTCAGGGGGACAGGCTTGAGCGCTCCCAAGAGGAGAGGCAGAGGGAGGGGCGCAGCCGTGCACGGACCGGGAGCTCCAGGAGCACAGGCTTGGGGAGTCCAGGTGCAGGGGAGACGTGGACACTGCAGACCGGTGGCTGTGTAAGAACCAGGGCTCCCCACATGGCTATGTCCCCTCCTCTTCTGCCCAATACGTGTCACCGGATGAGCCTGCATCTGGCCACCGCCCCTTTACAAACCTATCACTGCTGGCACCCTGCCTTACCCCTGCTTGGCACTCCTGAAGGACACTGGAAGGGAATGGGCCCTGCCCCCCGCATCCCCAGAGCTGACCTGTTGCTCGGGGTCAACACCATCTGTCTGACTGCACCGAGTCACCAGTCTGGCCTTTCCCCAGTCAGTACCACTTTTCCTGTCCTGTTTCCATACCCTCATGGCCCTCTAAGGAGTTCAAAATAGAAACAGCATAACGCTCAGCCGAAGTAAGCCTTGGCAACAGGGTTAAAAGGCAAAACTCAAGGAGTGGGATAATCTAAAAGAGAAAAATGGGATAAATATGTTATGGCCATAATGCCATGACCAACCCTCTGAGCTTCCCAAAAGCCGAGGTGAGAAGGGAAATGTGGAACTCTCCACAGCTTTCAGTGCTAATGGAGAATGAGCTAGACACAGGCCTCGGAGGCCAGCCACTGCTGGGCCTCACACTGTGCTGGCCCTCTGTGCCCGCAGGCTGCTCCTCCATCACAGAGGCAGTGACCATCCTGGGGAACAAGCTCGTGGACTACCAGCGGCACTTCACTGCCAGGGACCTGCTGGCCCTCTGTGACTACTCCCACAACACCTTCATCCGCCACTTTCGGCTCTACCAGTATGTCCTGGGCCAGGCCCGCACCGTCCACCTGACTGTCACCCACCTGGAGGTCTGCACACCGCCCCAGCCCCTGCCGCTGGCCGAGGGCATGCACAGGGACATGTGGAATCACCAGCAGCAGGTGGCTGCCCTGGAGGCCACCGAGGAGCAGAAACGCAGGGAGCTGCGGCTCCTGAGGGAGGCGCTGCGTGAGGAGGAGGGGCGCCTGCTGGAGCAGACCTTTGCTAGCATGCAGCCCCAGGGCACTGAGGGGACACAGCCGCACCAGGGCCTGTGCAGAGAGGTGAGTCGGGCCCCGTCCCCTGCCCCGTCTCCAGGCTGTATGTGTGTCTGGTATCTCTCGCCGGCCCTGGTGGACTTTGCCACACAAAGTCCCTGCTGACTGGAATCCAGGGCTCTGCTTTAGCAATGGGGAGCTGAGGCACAGAGGACTCAAGTTTACCCAGAGTCACCTCGCTGAGTTTATGGCTGGTCTGAAGTCCCTCGCTCCTGGCTTGGCCTGTGCTCCTTCTGGCAGCTCCAGGATACCGGGGCACACCCAGAGCCTGAGGGAGGGGGCACAAGGGTCTCGTGCCAGCATGGAGGATGGAAGCGGGTGCTGCCCAGGGTTGGTGGCTCTCTGAAGCTATTTCCTGTCCCCTCCTCGAAGCCCCCAGAGGACCTGGGGATGTGGGAGTGGGGCAGTGTCCAGCAGAGCTCACGGAGAGCAGAGTAGAGCACGCTGCCGCATGAGCTTGGCCTGAGAGCTTGGGAAAAAATGGCACCACACACGGGGCAACCACCACTTGCGGCCCGAGGGGAAAAGGCAGGGAGCAGTGACTGGAACCCCGAGAGGACAGGGGACAGGAGGCGAGGCTGTCCCTGACTGTGTCCCCACCCGTGTCCCCACAGGCGCTGGAGCACCTTGTCCACGAGGCTGTTGGCATCCAGATCAAGAGCCTGGGGCAGCGGCTGCAGTGTGAGGTCCAGATGGCCTTCAACATCCTGGACCTGCGGCTCCAGAAGCAGCTGCTGAGTCTCAACGTACCCCTGTCCCCCCTGCCCCCCAGCCCAGGCCAGCTGGGCCCAGAGAATGCTATCAAGTCCCACAGGGCCCATCGACAGAAGAAAGCCAGGGCTAAGTAGCCTGAGTCCCAGTGACCACCACCCTCAGGGACTGGGAGGTGAGCTTTGGGGTGCACTCAGCACCCCACTGATCAGACGTTCCAGCAATTAAAGGAAACAGAGCCACGTGTGTCTGCGGTCTGCCTTGGGCACTGTTTCTCACCCTTGTGGGTTCGAATTGGCACCACATGGCTGGGTGCAGGGCTTGGCTCCATGATCAAAGGTTCAAGCAGAGCAGAGCGAGGGGGATCCCAGCCCCCAGCTGGCAGAACCACTGACCCCAGGAAGCTCAAGCCCAAGATTGGGGCCTCTCCTGTGCCTCCACCCCAGACCACCGAACCTGTGCCAACAGCTGTACAAGTGCTGTAACTGTTGGTTCCAGGTGGCAGTGTCCCCCCATCAGGGATGTCAGGACCTTATACACTATCACTTCCCAAGCAAGTCAGAGAATGAGTCACCCTGGCCGGCTGGGACAGCTTCGGCCTGACCTCTCTCCTCCCCTGGGGGGCCCACCACCCCTGCACCCTATCCTCAGGACCCAGAGGTCTGAGCCCTTCACCACAGGCCCTTCAGGCTCAGAGCTGGCCATGGTGGGCCCTGGCACTGCCCCTCTTTCAGAAGGGACCCACTTTCCTGGTCACCCACTTCTGTAGGGACTCAGCATGGTCAGGCTTGTCTACTTAGCACCAGCAGAGCCACCTGAGGGTGCAAGGAGAAATCGGTTCCCATGGTGCCCCCACAGAGCTGTGCCCCTCACTTGGGAGGGCTGGGGTCTGAGCAAGGCTGTCAGCCCCACAGCGGGTGTGATGTTAGGGAACGCTGCAGAGTGTGAGAAGATGACTGCACCGGGAATGTGAGGGAAATCTGACCTGCCTCGGCCCCTAGAGGCGTGGATGACTGACTTCAAGACCAGCAGAGGAGCCCTGTGGCCAAGGGGCAAGGCTATAATGGTCAGCAGCTGGGCAACCTCTAGGAAAACCCTATCCAGGACACTGAGCCACCTTCTGGTGGACCCCAAACCAGTGCAGTGGCCCCCAGGCCTTGTGCCGTGGGAAGGTGGGACCGTGAAAAGAACAGCTGCTGTGCCAGCGTTAGCCTGGGGCACCAATGGGAGCCCAGCAATAGAGGGAGGAGTTGTGTGCTCTGGTTTTCCACAGGGTCACATCCTGGGCGACACTGCTGTCCCGGTACTGGGCTTGCTTTAGCTTGCATTGTCCCAGCCATGCCTCTGTTGAGCGGAGGGCAATTAAGACTGAGTGAGAGGAGAAAGCTTCTCCAGCACATGAGCTTGGCGTGCATACACTTTTTGGCGTGACAGCACGAGGGGACCTCTGGGGCCAAGCCTGGGGCCCTCCCTGGGACACGAGATGCAGGCAGCCACAGCAGCAGAGGACAGGCAGCCCCTCCCCTGGTTGGGGTCGAGAGGAGGATCCTGCACTGCTGCTTGGGCCTCTGGATGGGAACAGGGGACGCTGAGCCAAGGTGAGCGGGAGCAAGCAGGGGTTGCGGGGCTGCAGGTGGTGGGGAGCCCACCACCCCTGCACCTATCCTCAGGACCCAGAGGTCTGAGCCCTTCAGCACAGGCCCTTCAGGCTCAGAGCTGGCCAGTGCTGATCTTACTGTTTCTTCCCCCTCTATGTTCAATAAAGCCTTTGGCAGCAGAGAGTTGGAAGAGGAGAAGTGAGCCCGAATATGAGAGGGAACTATCAGGACTTTTTCTCTTCCAACGAGGCTGACCTGTGCACCCCCGCTTTCCCCCCAAACATGTTCACCCTGCACCCGGAGCCTTCTAGCGGTGTCCCCGAAGTGGAATAGGAAGGCACCCAAGAGCCTGAGCATCAATGGAAACTCCATTTCAGAAACAGGTCAGCGCTGCCCACACTGCCGGCAATCCTTCTGGAAACTGCTGCTCTGTTGCAGGCGGAACCCTCTTGGACTTGGTAATTCTATCAGAAATCTCGAGACTTTCAACGCTAAGGACGAAAGTACCTGTTTTTGATGTGATAGCACAAATGTAAACGTGTATCTTAGTGCCTCAGTAAAAGCAACATTCTCCTTATTGTACCAAAAACAAAACAAACAAACAAACAAAACACCCACAGGAATGGAGTGTAGCGTTGCTCACGTACCAGGGACAAACAAAACAGAAACGAGGATGGAAGTGGGGAGAAGGCAGCGACCAACCTCAGGAGCAGCGAGGGCTCCTCGCTTGAGGCACTGGGCATGGGACAGCTGAGCTTCACATGTGTTTGCTGCGCCCTGTGTGCGAACTGCCCGATCGCGCGTACCAGACATTGCTGGGCACCGCGCTGCGTCGCCACACCAACCAGCAATTAAACAAGATCCTCCTTGAGGGGCTGCGCCACACCAAGGCCATAGCTGGTAGGCAGACCTTGGGGGAACCTTGGGGTGCAAGTAACTTCACTGCCAAGGACGGTAAGTGCCAATGTATGCAGGACTGAGAAAAGACACAGCAGGTGCCCTACAGAGAGCACAATCCAGCGGTCCTTTCTCCTGGGGGCTCCCAGCCACCCTGCCTCCCTCCCTGACTAATGGGTAAGCTCCTTTCCTGAGTGGCCCACAGTCACCGGCCCCAGTGGTTGGACCGGACACAGGCACGTGAGTCAAACTGGACCAATCACAATGCACCGTCGTCACCCTACATACCACACACCCCATCACGATGGCCAATCCCAGGATTTTTCTCCTTAAATCTTCTCCAATCATTTCCCTTTGCTTGTGAGGCTCCAAGGCTTCCAGGAAGTCAGAGCAGCCTATGGTGTGGAGCTTCCAGCCTGAAAGAAGGAAGGTACCAGGCAAAGAGAAGCAAGAGAGGGAGGGAGAGAGAGAGAGGAGGGAGACTTGAGAGTTTGGATCCTTAATCCAGCAACCCTGAGGGCAGCTCCACCCTGCCAGGCAGTGGTTTGGTTTCGTGTGCCAACATGCAACACCCACTATTTGACTGAGGTCAGTGAGACGGGCAGGGCAGGGGAGGGAGGCTTCAATAAAACAGATGAGGAAACTGAGGCTCAGGCAGGTGGAGTGATTGCACAAGGTCACTTGACTAATAGAGGGCAAAGCTGTGACTGAAGCAGCCAAACCTTCTACCCGCCCAGGTGACAGCTCTCCCCCTGTGTTCTCCTGCCTCACAGGGCGTAGTCCCTTAGAGAGCCCTGCCTCCTGCCCTGGCCTCTGAGAGAGACCAAAGGGTCTACTGTCGGTGCACCACTCTCCAGGGCCAGCAGGGCTGCTGCCCTCGAAACCAGAAATGCCCAGCAGAGGCCTCCTGGTGTGTTTTCTAAATTTCTCGAGTTCTTCTGCTCTTACTCAAAAGGACACACAGGCCAGGACAGTGGCCCATGTCCTTCCGAAGGCCCCTGCCTTCCCGGACACCCTAAGATGTCACCGTTCCAGGGTTCACGGGCCACCGTGGGACTTAGGCCACAGACTTTTGAAGCTGGACCAGGCCCCGCCCCCCGGGCACCATGCGGCCCCAATGGCCCAGGCTGCCCGGGTGATTCCTTCTGAGGACCCCACACTCCGAGTTTTATGAAAGAGTCAGGCCAGACCGGAGGCCTCGCTGCCTCTCTAGCAAAGTGAGGCGCTGTCAGTCACAGACAGAGCCACCAGGACTCCCCAAGAAGCACTGCCGAGGGCCAGGCAAGACCACATGGGAAGTCTTGGGTGTAGGGCCGGCTTGCAGGTGGTGCAAACTCGTGGCTGCCCTTGGGTGCAGCATCCCAAGGACTGGCCAGTGGAACCCAGTGGTTAAAGAACGTTGGGGGATCGCACGTTCCCATTTCAAAAGAGGACCATGGACCAGGTGGCCTGTCCTGAAGCTGCCAACTCGTAGCAAGGCCTGCTGCTATTGACCTGTGTTTCCTGGAATGCTCCATGTCCTCCACCAGGCCTGATCTGGTGCACGGGGACAGGAAGTTCACATCCTGTGTGGTCACAGTCCAGTAGGGTAGAGAGGGATTCATGTGACAGTGTCCCCCAAAGCTCTGCACATTGGCAGGCCTGGGTACCCCAGGGCCTTTGCCTGTCCCTCCCAGGAAGAGACATTTCTGCCCCAGCATGACAGCACCTAGGGCAGCTTCCCAGCACTCAGGGCGGCAGGCGAGCCAAGCTGCTGAGTCACTCTCAGCCCCCTGCCGAGTCACTTCCCTCCTGGGCACCTGGGGGGAAATGAAAGTGGAGGTCCCTGGGTCTTGGCCACTTGGGTGGGGCCCGGATCCTCAGGTGGCCTTTCCCAGCAGGGCTGACTGGGGCTGCCTGAGGGGGAAGGGTCCGGATGACATGGGGAAGCCAGGACAGGACCTCTGACATAGGGCAGGGTGTCCTGTCCTGCCTTTCCCCACTCCACAGAGACCGGGTGGCACTGTGCTCCGTCGGAGCTTTGGCTCTCCATTTAGGGCAAAACTGAGGGCAGGGGTTGGGGGCTACAGAAAGCCCCCTTGGGACCCCTGGCAGCCACCAGGAGCCACCTTGACTGAGTGCCCCCTCACACATCTCTCTGTCCCCCCCCCACTCTGTGGCCCTGTACCCCCCTGGTTCACTGCGTGCACTGAGGTATACCGTACAGTATATTACGACACAAGAGTTTGTAATTGGGCATGGAAAAGGTACCACTACCAAGGAGAAACCAGTGCTATCTGTCAGCACCTGGCCCTGAGCTCTGCCCCAGGAGATCTGGTGACCCTTTGTGTCCCCCGAGTGATGTCTGCACACTCCCTCACTGTGCTCTGCTGGGGAAGGCATTCTGGATCCTTCTGGTTCCTGCCTGATGGCCCAGGGTAGGGTACACACACGGCCTAGGAAGCGGCAAGAATCCAAGGGAAAATGACATTTTTCTAGGATCAACAAGAGGCGATGATATTGGGAATTTCTTTCTCATCTCCTGAGCTGTTCCCGCTACTTCTGTTTATGACCGTCACCTGCAGCCTCCTGACTAAAGCAGTGCCAATTTACAGGGAAACTGAGGCACAGAGAAACAATGCCATTGGTGTAAGAGGAAGCCAAGCAGTGGGTGGGATGGCCTGCGTTTGAGCGCTGAGGGACCATTCTGCCCGTGAAGGTACCGTGCCCTGATGGGACCCTTTCCCAGGTTAATACATTGCCAGACTATCGGGAGGAGAG